TGATCGCTAGGAATTGTAGTACAACTTCATAGTGCTGTAGCTATTGAAAGTTCTTTATTCATTCTGTTTACTAAAAACTTCTTTTGTTATAGCAATTTTGCACAGTAAGATAATATAAATCGCATTCTCAACCTTCACTCTGGAGGAATCTAAACTTGATGTTCTTCCCTATGCTTTTTAATTACTGAAGAGAACTTGTCAATCTCTCAAAAGGCATTTTGGAAATAAGGGGTAAAATTTAAAATTTTTCCAATATATATATGTTATGCATATAATAATAATAAAACTATTTTTTCAGTATATTTAAATATAAAATATAAAAGCAATCTATAATACAAACAAGAGGAAGGATCAAGCTACGACAATTTCGAGCTATTTTAAAAATCATTCTATTTTGACAACAATTAAATCACAGAACATTATCACATCGAATTGTATTATTTGATTCAATGAAATCACATTTTCGCAAAGGAACAAGACTTCGATTTGCAATGCCTACAAATAGATATCGTTATTTAAGGATATCCCGACACTTGAATTAGAACAGTGGAACGATGAATCTCTATGTCATGCGCCGATGGCATAACTAGGTGAGCATGCATCCCGACGTCCTCGACGGTGCATTCATCACTCAATTGCATCTCCTCTCTCCCTCTCCCAATACATGCACATGATTACACGCACAAATAGTGATGACAAAATATACATTTCTATAAAATCATTAATTGCAAAAAGATAAAATAGAAATGATTTATTTGCTAGGGATAAAATTTTATCGTATTTAAATAAGAATCTATTTCAATGAAACAAACATTATCTCACAAATAAATTGTTAAGTAATTTTTTTTATACGTGGCTTTCAATGAATAACAAAGATAGAATGACACTCTTGTCCTAAAAGAAAAGCAGTATTTATTATTCAAAGAAATATGTATTAAAGTTTAATTAATTTTTTTAGTAATATATGTGTGTATTGCAATTATAATAACAGATTCTTAGTATTCATAGTCAATTCTTATATTCAAGTCTAAGTTCTGTCTTGAAGTGTCACGAACCAATCTGAGGGCTGTCTTGAAATAAGAACTGAGTTTAAATGTCTACCTTGAAGCTAAAATGCTCTCAATAGTTGCAAATATTTTTTTAAATCATAGACATACAATGAAGTTACGTTACGAACTTTTCGACAAACCTAATATAATATATATATATATATTTTTTTTTTCTTGCAGAAAAAACTTTGATCTCTCGGGATTTTGTGATTTCCTACAATTTCACGTTACGCTTTCGGCTATTCTTTCCCACAGAAGTGGATTATGTTGCGTGCCTCGGCACGGCGAGATACCTCTCATCCAATTATAGACATTAACGTGCGGCTGTTTATCGCATGCTCGCGCGTTCACGCCGCTATCGGATTTACCCCGTGACCGCGTTTCGCGGGGATTAGATATTCTTAATTGGCACGTGTGCGGCGGCGTGCGTCGCGCGGACGATGAACCGTTTGTAATAAGCGGAGATAATGAGCGCGCGGCGCGCGCAAAATCGATAACCGCTCGAAAGAAGAAAGGGAACGGTGACCACCGTTGATGCTGATAACGCGATAAGAATGTTATCACCGATCTCTTTGTATACACTCTCCAGAAGATAATAGGAATCGGGAGAGAAAGACGGAAAGAGGAAGAAGGGGAGGGAAAGAGAGAGAAATGGAAAAGGGTGTGCACCCCGTTCGATAGCCAACGTCGAGGAGGCTGTGCGATGCACGCGCCGGTGGCTGCACATGTGTATAAGATATTAGGAGCAGCGAAACGTTGTCGAGCGACGACGACGACGACGTCCTCGACACGCTTCGCCTCGGCGATACGAGTATACGGTCTCTCCGTGACTCTGAGAAGCTCGAGAATATCGGAGAGATTTCTGGAAGTTAATCGCATATTTTGAGATAAGGTGGAGATTAGAAAAGGGAGCAAATTTATTAGGTGTTGACCAATAAAATTATAAATATATTCTAATTAATTTATCCACCTCTCTCATTTTCACCTCATTTTAAGATACGCAATCGATCTGGAGAGGCGTATCGAAGAGCCGAGGGGAGAGAGTGAATGCGGTGCAGCTCGTATCATATATTGACTACAGGGTGTTCCATCTAACTCGGTCTCTCTCATCTGAAGCTAACTGCCTTGTCCATCTGTACCCTCGCGGGGAAATGTATGAAGAAGAAATTATATTGGTGTTCTTCAGCAATTAACAGACGCAATAAACGTTTCATCTTTGTTTAACATTGGCAAACATCAAGGATGATTCACTGTAGGGCTCTTATGACAGAATCTGACTACAAACGATTTTGTTAAAATCTTGTGAGAGAGGAAAATATACATACTTTTTCCCTGTGCATATATACTCTATATCTCACTTTAACTTAACTATCTCATTCTATAACTTTAATTAAGATTATAGAGTGAGATAACATAAGTTAGATAACATATATATACAACCCAAGGAGTACACGAAGTCAATTTAGAGGAAGTCAAAATGACCTTATTTCAAAATAATATTTTGTTATAAAAAATTTGGATGTTTATTAACATTAAGAATTAAAATAAAGTCATTTTGAGTTTTTTGTATTCATTGAGAGGGAAAAAGTCTCATATCATTTATTTTAACATAATTTTGACGTTATTGTGACTGTTCCGTTTAAATCTCTTCAATCTGTTTTTCATTTTTAAAAATCCGGATTTTTGATTAACATAAAATGTAATACAGCTAATCCCTTTTATGCCAATTAATATAACATACGACATTGACCCAAGCTAAACAAAAAATCATCATAACATCAAAATGATGTGAAAAAATGATTCCAAAATAATTATTAAAAATCATTTTTCGATCAGTTAAAAGTCAAAATTCACTTTAACATTATCGTGATTTGTTGCTTTACTTGGGAATGTTCTTTGGAAACAAATGAATGATCCTTGATGATCCACCATCCTCTTAGGATAATTTCACCTATCATGATATCTGTCTTTTCGAACGAAATGATTTCAGGGAAGATACCCAAGAGAGCCGAATTAAGTGGAACGCCCTATATACCGATATCAAGAGTCTCAACAGTTGACGACCTCGCGGACAGCAGGATGAAAAGAGGTAAAACCCACCTACTCGTCACCTACACATAAATGCAAATGTAATATAACATCTCTGCAGCAAATACATCAATTGTCATATGATATTAATGTACACAGTAATTCTTACTTTTTTTTTTGATAAAATGGTTAATATAATAATTTATATAATTTTTACTTTTTAATAATATCTTGATTATAATAGAATATAAATATCTAATTATTGCAATAAGAATTACACTCGCTCGGAAAATCCATTATTCCAGTTAGATACGTTTATAACTTTTACATGATTGTTACAATTCTATAATATACTTGGTACTTTATACCTTTTGAAATTATGGTATATGTATGCATTGTGTGGTAAAAGCATGTATACATTATGCATGCATAAAGAAGTGTATATATATATATATATATACACATATATGTGTGCATAATATATACAAAGTAGCGCAGGTCATTATTTGGTTTAGACATAACACATTTATTTTTAACAAAATTGGCACAGGATTATTAAGTTTAAAAGCAACTTGGCCAAAAATATTAGGCACCTATATTTTTTTATTTATCTAGATTCTTTTATTACATTGTTACTTATTGATTTTCGATATTATACGTAAATTTAAAACATTCTTGAAATAAAGAGTAATTTACATCGAATGTAAATTACTCTTTGTTAAAAAAAAAATAAATCAATTTTTGAACTATATAAAATTTTTAATAATGTTTAATAAAGTGTCTCTAATATTATAACATTACGTGCGTCCCTATATATATACGTCATATATATATATATATATGTACATAATTTATATCAATTTAAGTAAATATTTTATATAAATATAGATTTAATATTAAAATATTGTTTATAATTTTTTTAATAATATTTCTATATTATAAATTATATTTATATAAAATCTTTACATTTACATATATATGTATAAATATATGTGTAAGTATGTATATATATATATATATATATATACACACACACACACACACATGCTGATCATCTGATGCTGAAAACAAAGTGCTTTTTATTTCCACTCGAAAGTCGGTTAACCACCCCTAACAATCGAGAAGGGGTCCTGATAAGGGATATTATGTAAATTCAGCTCGCTTATATCTGTCATCATATAGATTCGATCCAGAAGGGAATAGCATATTTTCCTCGAGATACGGTCAATGACGTTTAACCGAACCCGGAGGGCGGTTATCAGGGCGAAAAAATTCCGATAAGTGGAATCCGAGGAAACGCCACCGCGAGATTATAGTCTGCAGGCAGCGAAATGTCGCTGTCGTAACTCAAACAAGTTTACCCACAAATCTACATTTCCGAAACCTCGAGAGGTTCCGTTTTATCTTTTTCCAGGGCAAGGAACAGCTCGCTTTTGCTATTAACATTTACGATCGTACGATCCCAATTGATAGATCCACAGGGACCTTCGTGTAGATCCCGCAACTTTTTCTTTTTCCTTCCTCTCGTTACAATCCTCAGCGCGACTTTGGGGTGTTATGGACAGAGAGAGAGAGAGAGAGAGAGAGAGAGAGAGAGAGAGAGAGAGAGAGAGAGAGAGAGA